CTGCCACCTGTTGTCCCTGACTGAGCTAATTGGAAGATACACCAGCCCTTTAAGGAAGGGGGCCTCCTTCATAGACCCTTGGATTTCAAAGCTTCTGGCCACTCTAACCTGAGTAAAATCAGTATCCCCCACTCTGAGTAGATAAACCACTGAAAGCAAAGCCTTTTGCGACTACAGCCTTCATTATGAAGTCTCCCATTAAAAAGATTATCAATCCTCACAGGCTTCCATTCTTATTATCTTATTATCCAATCAGCCCACATGTTGCACATCCTGACCTGAGCCTATTAATAACCCTGTCTCTCCATCCCACACAGCTGTGTACAGCACTCGTGTCACTGGCTTCACAATTAATTCCCTTCTCCAATTAATTTTAATTAATTGAAGACAACCCACTCCTACTCAACTCTGTCAAAGGTCTTTTGGCTAGAAGCATTTTCAACCAATTTTTTTTATCTCTGAGAATATTCTAACACTAACATTCCCACAAATGACCAGGCCTCATTACTTGAACCTAACTGCTCCTTGTCCACCTGCCCCACATAATCATCTTAGGTTTAGTGTAGCACTGACAGTCAACCTTAATACACAAAATCTAAAACTATCTCTCAAATGTCTTCAGATTCTCTGCTCTCTTAAGATACTTTCCCACTATTATACACCACTTTCCACTGCACTTGTCAGCAATCCATAATTCAGCATTATCCACACTGGGTCTCATTGACTGGAAAACTACCAACCAAAACTCACATCTTTAATTCAAATAAAACACTAGTATCAGGCCAAAGAGGCTTCCCACGTGGCTCAGTGGTAAAGAATCCTGCTGCCAATGGAGATGCAAGAGATGGGGATTTTATCCCTGAGGCAGAAGATCCCCAGGATCAGGAAATGGCAACACACTCCAGTATTCTTGCCTGGGAAATCCCATGGAAACAGGAGCCTGGCAGGCTACACTCCATGGGGTCTCAAAGAGTTGGAAATGTCTGAGCATAGAGATCATTTTATATTTTTCTTTGATTCTAGAGCTCATACCAATAACCAGCATCACTGAAATTTATCTCCTAAAATGGAGAGTCTCTGTAGTCAATTTATTACCCTGGTCATATAAACCAGGAAAGGACAGTAAAACGCCTCCCTAACACTTGAGAGGAGAAGGAAATGGCAACCCACTCCAGTGTTCTTGCCTGGAGAATCCCAGGGACGGGGGAGCATGGTGGGCTGCCGTCTATGGAGTCGCACAGGGTCGGACACGACTGAAGTGACTTAGCAGCAGGATCAACACTCGAGAAAGAACTCCAGCTCCACCAACAGTTGCAAAGATGAAATTTTAAGCTAGTTCCTGAACAAATGTTTTGGTATATTTACAAAATTATTAAGTGCCATGTCTCAATTATAATGACTTTCCCCCTATAAATTACTATATATTTCGTGCAAGATATATGTTACCTCAGGATTTTACTCTGTAAGGAAATTAGACCACGGGCCTCTCAAGGTAACAACTGAATTCACTTGGGGAGGAATGGCTGGGGGATTAGGAAGGTCCCAAGTGACCGGAGACCGCAGATATGGAGTAGTGGGGATCCTATGGACGGAGCTTAACAAGACTAAAAAGCAAAACACAGTACCTCACTATTCCCGGGGCGACCGCACCTACCAAGTCTCGGCCTCAGGAATTAATGTAAACTCACGTCCTTCGAGGGGAGACACCAGAGATTCCCAAGCGGTAGGTTCCAGGAGAAAGGGACAACGAGGGTCGGAAGAACCTAGGACACCCGCCTGCGAGCGGGGCCGAGCGGGGCCGAGCGGGGCCGAGCGTACACCTACCAGCCTGTTCCTCCCTTTGGTTCCAGAGGTATCTTGTCAGGGTTAAGGAGTACTTGAGGGTCTCTCACGTCTTGTGCTGCACCATTGATTGCTCATTACTTAAACTAATTGTAACACTTTTAATAAAACCTTAAAATTCTGTGGGATAATCACAACGGAAAAAAAGGGTTTGGCTTAACATTTGGAGTACTGCCATGTCCGACGACAGAGGATGAAATCGTTGGATAGCATCACCGACACAATGAGTTTGAGTAAATTCTGGGAGTTGGTGATGGGCAGGGAGGCCTGGCGAGCTGCAGTCCATGGGGTCACAAAGAGTCGGACATGACTGAGAGACGGAACCAAACTGTACTTGGAGTTCTGTTGATGAGGCTGAAGTGATTCAGAGCCCTGGGAACTGAAACCTGGTCTGGTGGCCAGGTTGGGGTTGGGTGGGGGTTGATGTGGGATGCTGCTGGGGTGGGGCTGGATGTGGGGTGCTAGTTGAACCCAGGAATATTCCTGCAATTAGAATTAATTTAAGCAGTTTAAGTAAACAAGAACTGGCTTTCTGTAGGGATGACAAGCTAGAATGTGAAAACACACAACTCTTAGAAAGGGCTACTTCATACTAACACTTCTAAGGAGAAAAATGTCCTGACATTCCACTTCTTCAAGGATCAAGCTTATTAGTCACTGCAGTGGCCCAGCGAAAGTGCACCCTGAGGGGAATGCAGGATTGAGAAAAGCAGGCACCATACTGTGCTTTGGACATTCTGGCCTTGGGATTTCAGGAAGGGTCTCTTGGGACCATCCACCTCTTCAGCAAGACCATAAAATTGGGGGGAGACTCCTGGTTTTCAGATCTCCCAGTTAGTGGTTGATGACCCCAATTTTGTTTGGCAGTGTATTAACATACACTGAGTTAAAAGACAGTCCATGGGGTCACAAAGAGTCAGACAGAACTGAGCAACTGAACCAAACTGTACTTGGAGTCCTCCTATTAAAAGACACTGAGTAGAATTTCCCTGGTGGTCCAGTGGTAAATAATCTACCTGCCAATGCATAGGACCCGGGTTTGATCCCTGGTCTGTGAGGATACCACATGCCTCACAGCAACTAAGCCTGTGCAATGTAAGTACTGAACCTGTGCTCTGAAGCCTGTGCTCTGCAACCACCGCAGCCCCAGCAACGAGAAGCCTACACACAAGTAACTAGAAAGTCACTTCTTGCTGCAGCTAGAGAAAGCACACAGGCAGGAAAAAAAAAAAGAGGCTCAGCACAGCCAAACAAACAAAAAGACATTGAATCCTCTGGACTGACCAAAAGGAGCATCAAAATGCCAGTCTCCAATCATACCCCAGCCAAGTTTCTGTGAATTCACAGCCCGATTGCTGCAAAAAGAGAAAGAAGCCAGCACAATGACGACTTAGCAGAGACAAAAATAAATTTTAAACATTATTAAAGAGAGAAAAAAACTTTTAATGAGAAATGCATTCTTTATGAAAGTTTCTGTTCCATGCTTATGATGACAAAACTTCAAATACTTATATAAGCAGAACTTGTTTACATCATAATAAATACTACTTAAGTCAACACTTCAATGTAATGGAATGACATTACTATATGATCACTAGATGGTAATTAGGCAATTTACTTCTTGTTGAAAAATTGTAATATATTTTCTCTCATTTCTTTGTTGTCTGCTTTGGAAAGATCTGTCAGTTGTGGACAACAAAGCACACCGTAAAATATAAAGTCTTTAAGAAGACACTAGAATTTATTTTCATCAAAATTATCAACTTGGCACTATTTATATTTCTTTGTGTATTACCTGACAAAACTCAAGTCCTAAAAAAACTGTATTTCTTTATATTTACAGAGCACCTACTATGTTCCCTGTCATTATCTACGTGCATTTTAATGTTACAAAAGTATCAAAATAACCAACTGACTTATGTATTTGTTAGTGTAAGGCAGGAAAGAAATGTAAATTAAACATTAAATCTTGGTCATAACAAGTGGATAGAAAAAGCAATGCTAAGGAAAACCTACTGAAAAAAACAAAAGAAACAGGATGGCAGGATTTAACAGATTAGCACTGAAACATATATTACCTTATGTAAAAGGGGCAGAGGGAGTCTGATGTGCAAGCGTGTGCTCTGGGACAATCTGGAGGGATACGGTGGTGAGAGAGGTGGGTTCAGGAGGAAGGGGACATATGTACACCTATGGCCTATTAGTGTTGATGTACAGCAAAAACCATCACAATATTGTTAAAAAAAAAATTAACTGATGGTGACTTAGGCCTGAACACACAATCAAAGCTTTCCCACACCTAACACATTTGTGTAGTTTTCCTCCAGGTTGAATTTTCTGAGGGTCAAGAACTTGATATATTTTACTGCATTCTCTACATGTTTAAATTTTCACTGCAGTATGGATTCTCAGATGATCTGCAACATCATTCCTTGTGACCGAAGGGTTTGCCACATAAATAACATTTATGTGGTTTCTCTCCTGTATGAACTGCCTAATGGGGAGTTCATGCTAAACATGCACTAGAAACTCTGCCACATTCATTTCACTTGTATGTTTTCTATACAGCATGAATTCTCTGAATTATAAGCCCTGAACACTGACTAAATGCTTTGTTACTCACATTGTACTGGCAAAATGTTTCTCACAACTGTCACATTTCTAATGTTTCTCTCTAGTGTGAGTTCTCTCATGGTTTCTAAGTTTGTCATTTCAAGTAAAGCACATACATTATATTTATATGGTTTTTCTCCTATTTGAACTGCCTGATGATGAGTTATGGATGACTGATCCTAAATGGTTTGTCACAATTTTTATACTTCTAAGGTTCTCTTAAGTATGAATTCTCTGATGAACTGCAAGGTGTGCATTCACACTGAAAGCCCTGCCACATATACCTCATTTATATGGTTTCTCTCCCGTATGAACTCTCTGATGAATACCAAGGTTTCCAGTACAAACAAATGCCTTCCCACATACAACACATTTATAGGTTTCTCTCCAGTATGAACTCTCTGATGAACACCAAGGCTTGAACTTACACTGAAAGCCTTGGCACATATACCACAACACATGGTTTCTCTCCAGTATGAACTCTCTGATGAACAGCAAGGTTTCCAGTACGACTAAACGCCTCGCCACACACATCACATTTATACGGTTTCTCACCAGTATGAACTCTCTGATGAACAGCAAGGTTTCCAGTACGGCTAAATGCCTTGCCACACACATCACATTTATATGGTTTCTCTCCAGTATGAACTCTTCGATGAACAGCAACATTTGAACTTATTCTGAAGGCCTTGCCACATATATCACATTTATATGGCTTCTCTCCAGTATGAATTCTCTGATGAGCTGCAAGGTTTGCAGTTTGACTAAAGGTCTTCCCACAGACATCACATTTATTTGGTTTCTCTCCAGTATGAATTCTCCGATGAACAGTCAGGTTTGCAGTATGATTAAACGCTTTGTTACATACATTGCATTTGTATGGCTTCTCTCCAGTATGAACCCTCTGATGAAGTGCAAGTCTTGTAGTATGATTAAAGGCCTTGCCACATACATCACATTTATATGATTTCTCTCCAGTATGAATTCTCTGATGAACTGCAAGGCCTGTAGACTGACTAAAGGCCTTGCCACATACATCACATTTATACGGTTTCTCTCCAGTATGAATTCTCTGATGAACAGTAAGGCTTGAAGTTCCACTGAATGCCTTGCCACATATACCACAATTATATGGTTTCTCTCCAGTGTGAACTCTCTGATGAACAGCAAGGTGTCCAGTACGCCTAAACGCCTTGCCACAGACATCACATTTGTATGGTTTCTCTCCAGTGTGAATTCTCTGATGAACTGCAAGGCCTGAATTTGCAGTAAAGGCCTTGCCACATACATGGCATTTATATGGTTTCTCTCCAGTATGAATTCTCCGATGAACTGCAAGGCCTGACGTTTCACCAAAGCCTTTGCCACATACATCACATTTATATGGTTTCTCTCCTGTATGAGTTCTCTGATGAATTTCAAGTTGTGAATTTTGAATAAAGCATAGGCCACATACATCACATTTATATGGTTTCTCTCCAGTATGAATTCTCCGATGAACTGCAAGGTTTGCAGTTTGACTAAAGCCTCTGCCACATATATCACATTTATATGGTTTCTCTCCCGTATGGAATCTTTGATGAACTGCAAGCTTTGCAGCTTCATTAAAGGCCTTGCCACATACATCACATTTATATGGTTTCACTCCAGTATGAAGTCTCCGATGAACAGTAAGATTTGCAGTATGCCTAAATGCCTTGTCACATACATTGCATTTGTATGGCTTCTCTCCAGTATGAATTCTCTGATGAACTGCAAGGTTTGCAGTTTGACTAAAGGCCTTGCCACATACATCACATTTATATGGTTTCTCTCCAGTATGAAGTCTCTGATGAATAGTAAGATTTGCAGTATGACTAAATGCCTTGTCACATACACTGCATTTGTATGGCTTCTCTCCAGTATGAATTCTCTGATGAACTGCAAGGTTTGAAGTTTGACTAAAGGCCTTGCCACATAAATCACATTTATATGGTTTCTTTCTCATATGATATCTCCAATGTATTGCAAATTTTGCAGCTTCATTAAAGGCCTTGCCACATACATCACATTTATGTGGTTTCTCTTCAGTATGAATTCTCCAATGAAGTGCAAGTTTTGTAGTTTGATTAAAAGCTTTGCCACACACATTGCATTTATATGGTTTTCTTCCTGTATGGATTATTTGATGTCTAGTGAGTTCTGAGTCCTCAAGAAAGGTTATGTCACACTCAGTACATTTGTAACGTCTTTTCTTTTGTGTCTCATGGTCTGGTAACAGTTCTGAAAGATGCATGACAGCATTCTCAGGTTTATGAGAAAACCCTTCGCACACATTACGAGTTCTCTGAGGTGATAAACCTGAGGCGCTGACATCTGTCACAACTTGACTACATTCAAAAATTATCCCTTCAGATTGTACCATCTGCAATTCATTGTGAAAGCTTGCTCTGTGCCTTTCAAAAGGTCTATTTCCTACATCACTTCTACTAGGATGATCTCTTCCATCAGTGAGGTTTTTGTTATGGGATGTAGACATTCCTTTGTCATTTCTTTCATCATCTGTCCACAGACAATCAAAGTCATGTATATTTTCCTGGATCTTCCTGAGGTGAAAATCTTTGATGTCAAGGCTTTCAGCTCTTCCAAACATCACTCTTTGAAAAATTTCCCCTTTACCACTGTTTCCTTTTGCCTGTAATTTCTTGACCATATGCATATGAGACATATCTACAAGACATAAAGAACCACAGGTATTCTATTAGTTACAATTCATAAATAATTTCTTGTTGAGCACATGATGTTATACCAAAAGTCATATCCATCCTGAACAGAATTACAAATCTTCGCAATGATAATCTTAAAACTATAGAACACTAAAGGAATAGAACTCTTTAAAAAAGAGTGATGATATGTAATTCAAATTAATTTTAGGGTAATGTAGGTTCAAACACATTCAGAAAACATTCATTTTATGCAAACTCATGTCAGTTTGCAAAGAAAACGTATTTTCCCACCATGACCTCAAAGCTCATCCTACTTTGTACTAAGCGCACTGCTCTCATAAATGAGGAGAAACTAATGGTATACTGTACATACTTTATGCATACTTATACATATTTAAATGGTAAAGAAAATACAGCACTAGAGAGGTGACTCAGTGGTAAAGAAACTGCTTGCCAATGCAGAAGACACAGCATAGAGGCATACAATCCCTGGGTCGGAAAGATCCCCTGGAGCAGGAAATCACAACCCAGTGCACTATTCTTGCCTGAAAAAACTTCCATGGATAGGAAAGCTTGGTGGGCTACAGTCCATGAGATCACAAAGAGTCAGACAGGACTGAGCAACTGAGCAAACAATCATCCATCAGGCAATACACTGGAATGGTAAACAATGCAAAAGAAGCATTCTAATGAATAATGTAAAAAATAAAGGGCAGTTAATAACTGTTCAACAAATATTGCATTGAGAAAATAGAGAATTCTGTAAACTATATATATATATATATATATATATATATATATTTTTATTGCTGGACCATGTGGCTTATGAGATGTTGGTTCTCTGACCATGGATTAAATCCAGGCTTGCTGCAGTGAAACTAACTCAATACTATCCACTGGACTATCAAGGAATTCCCTAAAATAATTTACAAAATAAAACAATAAACACTTTTCTAAATATCTCTTAGACTTCTATCAGTAAGCATTTTATGACATTAACAAGTGGTTCATGTCAGTTATATTGTGTAATACAAAAAGACTGTCATTTTTAAAAAGCAAAAAATAAGTGAACATTCTCTACTCAGACAATAATCATTCAATACAGCAACTCCCTATCTATACAGCAACCTAAACTCACCTAGTTCATTGGTTCCAAGATATATGCAAAGGAATAAGCTTTGGGGCTTCCCTTCTGGCTCAGAGGTAAAGAATCTGTCTGCTAGTGCAGGGCACACAGGTTTGATCCCTGATCTGGGAAATTCCCACATGCCTGAGGACAATTAAGCCTGTAGGCCACAGGTGATGATTCTGTGCTCTAGAACTGGGGAGGCACAACTACTGAACAAAAACACACAGAGATCACGCATTGCAACAAGAGAATCCACTAGAATGAGAAGTTCACGCACTGTAAGTAGAGTGTAGCTCTTGCTTGCTGCAAGCAGAGAAAAGCCCCTGAAGCAACAAAGACCAGGTGCAGATAAAAACAAATAAATTGTAAATAAATTTTTAATGTATTGTTATGAAGATAAAGGAATGTGATTGGAAAACTTTGTGAACTAGAGTCAGAGACAACTCTCTTGGGAAGGAAATGTAAAGTAACAACACACACGATGTAATGTAGACAAAAGAGATATGTCACAATAAGCATGACAGGAAGTAAATATATCTTTGAAGCAAAAGTAAACCCTTGAGGCAAACTCCTTGTGGTCCAGTAGTTAGGACCATGTGCTTCCACTGTAGAGGGCACAGAATCCTTCCATGAATGGGGAACTAAGAACCAGACTGCCATGTGGCACAACAACAACAAAAAAAAGAAAAGTAACTTCTGATTTTTTCTATAAAATATGCAACAGTCTATGCCACCTAACAGCAGGAATTACCACAGTAGGCGAACAAGGGGAAATAAATCCCTCTGAAACACCTTATCACATGCTACCCAAAGTCAAGCAACAAAAATGACAGGAGTCAAATGGCAGATTGTTGCAGAACATAAAAAGACTTTTTGGGACCTCTTTTCTTGAAGTCCACTTTCCATGAACCTCTCTCTTTTTAAAAACATCACTTTGTTCATTTAGAAACAGCCATCTGTAAGTCAGAAGTACTTTCCATTTTCCTTAATAAAATGTAATTTTGAGGAAGGAGTTGGATGGGCTGCAGGTTGGACATCTACAATCAGCTACCCTCCTCTTTGCATGCCCTGAGATAAGAGATAGGTGGGCTCAGGTTGAGGAATTTACAGCCAACAAAAACAGGGTAAACAGCCAGTTTGTCTCTTAATTCAAAGGAATAATCATGGCAAGGAGAAAGAAAGGAAAAACCCTGTCTGATAAAGGAGACAGTACACAAGTGCAGAAAGGCTCCTTGGAGTTAAAAGTCAGAGGAGCATTCCAGGCCATAATGAGGTTTGCTCCTCTGAGAAGCCTTTACTTCAAGATCCAGGGTGTGCCTGTGTAGCCAAGGAGAGGGTCCTGAGAAAAACTAACCAGGGGGGACAAAGCAAGGTGCTTAGCCCACATTTCTCATACCTTTCTTACTAAAAACACACGTCTTACTTTCCTTAAGCAACCATGACCTGTCCGTTATATTAGCATTTTGTAGACTGGTGAACATAAATACCAGTGACAATCTCTAAGAATATTTGCTTTCTTATAGAGAACATCCCAGGGTGGCACCAAACATATTCATTAAGAGTCCAAAATCTCTTTAGTGTGTCTGTAGGAGGAAATGAGTTTTCAGTAATGTGTGATTCAGAATCTTATTTTCTTTGGAAATGACCTAGATATTCAACAAACTTTCATCACTTAGTTTATCACAACCCTAGAAATTCAGGTTATTCAGATCTGGACAGACTATTTTACAAAGACATTTCTGAAGTATAATCATTCCTAACAGAGTTTATCTGAAAGCTCCAACTGCATTTGCATTCTTTCCTTTTTAAAAGTTTCTTCACTCAAGTTACTTTAACTGTTGACAAACTTACTTAACATTAAACCTAGGTACAATAAAAGTATTAGACAATGTTGAAGACTCAAGATGTCTTAATTAGATTAGCAAACAAACATTAATACTAGATATTTAATATTGAATATTGTCCAGTTCAGGTGAACCTGAAATTCATTTAGGTTAATTTTTCTTGCAATTGTTTGATTTGTAAGTGCTTACTTTTTTTTTTTAACAAACAACTGAATTAGAGCTCATTTACAAATTAGCCTCAGCAATATTATCCAAAAACAAAGACACACACTGAAACAAACATAAGTGCAGATCAACACACATGAGAGCTCTCATACTTTCCTGCTTGAGATTTAAAATGTCTCTTTCACTCCTTTCTTCCCACCTCCCGCCCTGTGGTTTAAAATTCTAATTTGCCGAAGACTGAAATCTCTGGAAAAATGGGTTACGTATTTCAAGGAAATGGCAAAGGTTGCATGCTATGCAAGGTCACTTCAGTCCTGTCCAACTCCTGCAACACCATGGGCTCTAGCCCACCAGGCTCCTCTGTCCATGATGGGACTCTCCAGGGAAGAATACTGGAGTGGGTTG